TGGGGCTGCGGGGCACCTGCTGGGGCACCCGGTCCGCGCAGTGTTGGGGCGCGGGGTGGCGGCCTCCGCGGGGAAGTGGGAAAGAAGACGCTTTCTGGGGGCTGGTCGGCGAGCAGACCCTCCAGCCCTACGGAGACACGGGAAATTTTGCAGAAAGGTGGATAAAAGTCCCACCACCTGACCCCAAAGCAGCGGAGGAGGTGGTGCATTGGTTACTCTCCCGAAACACCCACGGCAGCGCCCACCGGTCAGTAGTCGGGACCTCTTAGCCCTGCGGGCTGTGCCAGGACAGGCCGACAATCAACGCGGTTCTACGGATTTTAACTCAACTGCCTCTTTCTGCTCAAGCGGGAATTTCTACGTTCTCAGTCTTAATTACATTTTGTCTGATGGAAGCGTGCACTTTTCACTTGGTCAAAAACGCCCACATATCCAAAACGAGTATTCGGTCTGACAGTGGGCTGGCATGTAGTCGGGCGCTTCAAATAAGCGAGATCAGTCCCTGCATTTTGGGAGCTCCTACCTGTTAGGGCCGAGAAATATATAAGCAAATTAGCATCCAGTGTGGTGGTTACCCCTGGAGACACACTGCCACGTGCTGAGGTCGCACAAAATGTGGAAGAAGGTGACTAGTGTGGGGAGCGCGCTCTGAAGCACCAGGCGAGGCTGGATAAGAGGAAGAAGAGTTCCACACGCAGACGGTGCGACCAGGTGGTCTGAAAACTGGAGCGGGGGTGTGTGTGGGTGTGTGTGTGTGTGTGTGTGTGTAGCCTAGAGGTGTGCAGTAAACACTGTATGCTTGGAAAATTGTGAGCAATGACTGCTGAGAGTGGTTTAGATGGAAAATGAGAATGAAAATGAGGTCATTAAAAAATAATAATAATAGCAGGGCGCCTGGGTTTTGTCGTCAAGCGTCTGCTTTTGGCTCAGGTCATGATTCCAGGGTCCTAGGATCAAGCCCCCATCCAGCTCCCTGCCCGGGAAAAGCCTGCTTCTCCCTCTCCCTCTCCCCCTGCTTGTGCTCCCTCATTCGCTGTCTCTCTGTCAAATAAATAAATAAAATTTAAAAAATCTTCTTTTTAAATAATAGCAGATACTTCTGTAGAGTTCGCCGTGTCTGGGTGCTGTTTAAACCTTCATATACATGAACTCCTGTAAGAGCTTAGGTGGCCCTGAAGGAAACTGAAATTTATGGGGCAAGTGATTGTGAAGTATTGGAAGAAGCCAGTCAGGGACCCGACTCGGTACCAGTGGGCCCAGCAGGATCACTTTGCTCTCAGCATGGAAGGCGATTTCAGAAGGATCCGTTAGAGGACAGCCGGTCAGTTTAGAGGTCTTCCCAAAGCGGTGATGAGCTGCTCAAGTCTTGTGACATTGGAAAGGAGAGGAAAGGAATAGGAGATTCAGTATATCGGGCTAGAAGCACGGAGAAAGTTGACTGTTTGGGTGGGGTAGGGAGAAGGAGAAAGACACCCAAATTATCAGACTGGGATCTTGGGTGGCTACTTCCAGCATCATAAAGATTAACTGGTGGTGTGGACTGCAGAAGAGACCAGAAGCCGTGCGTGTTCAGTTGTGGTCTCCGCATTTGGCGCGTCTGCAGACGCCCCAGACATCTAGCATAATGTCAGTGGGGTCTGACTGTGACATCACATCACTTCCTACCGTAGTTGATTTAGTTGATTTGGCTGATTGGATCGTCCCATTCCACACTCACCACTTTTCTTTTCCTTTTTAAAGATTTTATTTATTTATATGACAGAGAGAGAAAGAGAGAGAGCAGCAGCACAAGCGGGGGGAGTGGCAGCGGGAGAGGGAGAAGCAGGCTCCCCACCAGGCAGGGACCCCATTTCAGGACTTGATCCCAGAGGCTCTGGGAACAACACTGAGCCAAAGGCAGCCCCTTAACCGACAGAACCACCCAAGCACTCCAACACTCACCGTTTTTCTGCATGGTCCTCCCCAGTGTTTCCAACTTCCTGGAAAAAAACAAACTTCTCAGTAAGGGAAATTTATTCTTTGCTCAATGATATGAAAATAGTACCTATATTATCACAAAGAAAATAATAATAGTAATAATAATAATAAAAATCATAGCCATTTTATATATATTATCTCACTGTACTCTTAGAACAATCCTATAGAAGAGCTTTCATTATCCTGTTTAGCAAAGGGAAACACGGAGAATCAGAGAGGCTAGCTACTGTCTTGCCCAAGGCTGAGCTAGTAGTAATATGTGACTTCATCTTTCTGCACCACTGAAAACTTTTACATGAGTTTGCATTGTTTTTTAGTGATTATTAGACAAAAAGGAACTATGTGAGCTACATAAATTTTGGAAAATAGATGCCAGAGTGAGACCCCTCACATTGAACACCATTGTTCCATCTTGGCTTTGCATTGCCTGTGTGAGCAGGAGCTACTGGGTAGGAGGCTGAATGCGGAGAGCCTTTATTAGTCTCATCAAGCTGTTTTTGTGGCATTTTCTCCCAAGTTACCTCTGCTCCTGGAGAGAGGAGAGGAGAAAATGAAAACAGCTCCAAAAACCTGACTGGCAGATCAGAAGAAAAGGAATGTGGCCAGGATTTCTGTCATCTGTCTCATGGTGGCCAAGTCTTTAATATGTTAGAAACTGATCTTCCAGCGGCAAAGACAGTGATTTTATGGGGGGTGAACATCAAATTCTTCAATACTATGAACTGTTTAAAAAAATACTATGGGGGTGCCTGGGTGGCTCAGTGGGTTAAAGCCTCTGCCTTCGGCTCGGGTCGTGATCCCAGAATTCTGGGATCGAGCCCCGCCTCAGGCTCTCTGCTCAGTGGGGAGTCTGCTTCCCCTCCTCTCTCTCTGCCTGCCTCTCTGCCTACTTGTGATCTCTCTCTGTCAAATAAATAAAATAAAAATACTATGGACTGTTTAAAGAAATAAGCTTTGTCAATCAAGATAGTTTTTAGATGATTTTTAAATGCTCCATTACTCATATAGCTTATGTCTAATTTCTGTGCAATGTACAAAAGCCATATTATTTGATGCAACCAGGGATAGTAGTGAATAAAAAGAAGTTGGCCAAGAGACAAAAAAAAATTAATATATCTTAAATGTGTTTTAAACTGCTTATTTTACTTTAAAACAAGCAAATGTACATTTATTTACCCATCTTCTGATGTAGGACCAGGACTGTTTATAAGTATCTAACCACATCCTCGGGTTTGAAGTCATAAACCACAATTATAATACATCTCTATTACTTGCAGTTTAAGTGAAAAGAGTTTTTAAACACTCTTGACAAGCAATCTGAGTTCCAAATCTTTCTATTTGAATTTTTCCCAAATTTTACAATCTTTTCACCCATTTAGTATTAAACTCTGTTTTCATAGAAAAATATGCTTTGTTCAAATTTATATTTCATCCATTCCTTAAAATACATAGAACTGGCAAAAACACGTTTAGGAACAAACATAACCAACTCTTGGCACACACACAAACCAACTGGGAGAGCCAAACCAAGCAAACATGGCGGGAGCTGTACCCTGCTAACCTCTCAGTCAGTGCTTTACAGAGGAATGGCAGATGCCAGCACCATCAGAAAGCGAAGTATACTAATACATACATGTGCATTTGTGTTTGTATAAAGTTCTTCCCTAAATCTCCTAGTACCTCCCAATTGCTCTTAACATGAGGTCCATAGTCCCTAACAGACTTGCAAAGCCATTTACAATCCATCCTCCAATGACTCAGAATCATCTTTTGATATTTTCTACATAAATGCCCACAACACACACACACACACACACACACACACACACACTGGAAGAAAACCACAGGAGAGAAAAGGGATTTCTTTCATTACCCTGAACTAGACTCCTTCGTGCTGCCCCTGGACACTCCCATATTGATTTCCTCTGCCTGGAACTCTACTCCCTCAGCTCTCTAACTGGCTTCCGTAGACCGTGAGGGTTAGTTTAGATATTACTTCCTTCAGAACACACTTCCTGACAGTCCTAGATCTGACTGGTGCCCCTCCTACGAGTTCTCGCATCACCTCGTATTTCCCCTTTTCTAAATAACAGAACTCTATTATTTAAAATGGACTCTAAGTTGCCTGTATCCCCACTAGTATAATGCAAGGCCAGGACAGGCCACAGGACCAGGGCCCTCGTGTTCACAGCTCTGTCTCCAGCTCCCAGCCCAATGGCTAACACTGGTTGTTGATTGCTTGCTTAATCAAATCAATAAATCACTGTTAAGAGGCAAAACTCTTGGTTAATGGAGGAAGGCCCTGAAGTCAGACTGCTCTGGTATCTGCCACTCACAGGTTTGTGATTTACCCAGTATTCTAGGCCTCCTTTTCCTCAGCTGTATAATGGGAAAAATAATAGAGCTTCGAGGAGGGAACAAAATGAAATCATACATAAAAATACTTAGGTTCCTTGTATAGAAACTGTTTAGTAAATGTCAGACACGACTTCTTTTGTTAATATTAGGTATGGTCTGTTTTATTTATGTATATTTTATAATGCATGTAAAATTTCATGTTATACGTAGCTAATTCTCATTTTTCTTGGTAGTTATGTTCTATAAAGTGACTGAAAATACTAAAATTTTTAAAGGTTATTTATTTATTTATTTGACAGAAAGATCACAAGTAGGCAGAGAGGCAGGCAGAGAAAGAGGAGGAACCAGGCTTCCCACCAA